ATATATATATATATATATATATATATATATATATATATATAACTCTATATATATAACATTCAATGAATTATATGATGTACCAGATGGTCTGGTAAACATATTTAAGCATCACTGTAATGCTACTTAGACAATGCGCTTACCCGATAGTTTGGTATCATGGACTAAATATCTTGTTACACGAATATTCACCATACCGTTCGGTAAACCTAAATAGAATTCTGGTTAGTATCATCAGACATTTCCCTCAGTGTGGAACTTTATTTTCATAATGGAAAAAAATACGCTATTATATACGCGATTTAATGATGAAATCACTCTCCTTTTAAGAATCCAATTTGTTAAAAATGTTTCCATTAAAATAAATGCAATTCTTGTTATTGTATCGCTCTATACTCTATCCGTATGTAGTTAATTATATCTTATGCGTAACTTAACAAGACACGCGGTAATATCGTAGTGTCGGTTATCGACGATCACTACGGGGTGACTCAACATGTTAGATCCCCCTTTTCACGGCTCCGAGCACGTACACGTAGAGAAAAAATATCTAAGAATTAGTAAATATTTACTTGGTGAGGGTGCTAACAGAGCATACATTTACTTATATTAATATAAAATATGTTTCAAATAAGATAATATACATTTTCTTGAAACCCTTTAAGAAAACCTTAGTATTTTCCATTAGCAATTATTTATTCTATTTAAATAAAAGAATTTATATTTAAGTAAATATAGTACATTCTCACCAAATAAATATTTACTACTCTCTTAAAGTGAATCAGTGAATAGTCACTGATATCAGTTACGAGTATAGCACTGAGCACTTTCAGTGCTATACTTATAACTGCAATCAATATATATTCACTGTTTTCAGTGATGTTTGACTGATTCATTTTAAGAGAGTAATTTCTAGAAATTTTTGTCTCTCTCAGTGTACGCGCGTAACGAGGCGAATCGAACGAGGAGTTGCGTCTCCAATTTTTTCGGGCAGATTTGACGTAATGGTAGACTTATGCGAGTCGCGGCGGCAGCTTTACGTAAGTCGCGCCTTCCGATATAGGAGGTTGAAACTCCGCCGAGAGTTACGCGAGTCGCGCGACGACGAGATTGGTAACATGCCATTTCGCGTATTACACTTCTCATGGCAAACATATCGCACCTGTTCGCCCCGCCGAATCGCGCTCGTTAATCTTCGCGAAGTGGATACCGCCTAAGTGAGCGAGAGAGCGAGCGTGCTCAATGACGCGCCGAAATAGACTCGCTCGAGACTGCGATTCATGCGCGTTTACTCATGTTCGCGGCGTTGATCGGAAATTCGTATCGACCGCGAAACTCGAAACTCCGCTCGAAACTCTCGAAACCATCCTCCGGATGTGACGCGCGACCTATCACCTCCAGTCGAAATTTTGATCCTTCTTTCGACTTCAATATTCCACTTAATGCCTGTTTTGAGACGCTGAAGCTTATATCAACCTCTTTTGATTCGATTCAACTTACACTGAGAAAAAAATATTCATTAATTTTTAGATATTCTTTTTTGCAGTGGCACTAGCTTTGTCAAAAAATTCTCTTTGAAACATAGTGGTATTTTGTGTGTTTTCTACGTTTGAGACGCTAAGTAGGATTTTAAGACTCGTCTGCAATATGCGGAATAAGCTTGACGTAAAGGTTGCAGTAAGAAAGAAAAAAAATTTATTTCGCTTTAGCCTCCTTATACTGGAAGTATTTTTCTTAAGAGAGCGTAGACGAGCCTTTGGTTTCTACGTGTATTAAACATACACTGATCCTTCAAGATATACGGATGTTAAAATATTCAGGTCGAAAATAGGTTAAGATTCGATTCAGATTGTTCCGACTTCTCAGCTGATTTCGTAGAAACTCGCGACAAAGCTAATACGCCGAGATATAAACATTTCGACGAGAATCCGTGCTCTATTTGTGAAAAGAAACGAGAAGAAAAAAATGCAAGCTAACGCTTTTAGTTTTTCTCGTCGAAAAAAACGAATCTGTTTATAATTAAAATGAATCTTCGTACACGTCCGTCGTGTCTTTGCGATAGAAAAATTTGTTTTCCAAACGGCTTCTCGCGGACGCGTGTTTACATTATTGATATGGAATATTTTTATGAGAAGTGTTATGTTATTCATTCGTTGTGTGTTTTCGAAATTATCAATTGTAATATCGCGGAGTTTCTCGAAGTATTGCGCATTTCACGTATCGTGACGGAATAGTGCCAAGGCTGATTAATATTTTCCGCTTCTGTCTATCTTATAGATTTGTCTATAATATGGACTAGCAGAAGAGCGAGAATTACTAATGTCATGCGTTGCGACGGGAATCGGACACGCTCACAAATACAGACGCAAAGGATACTTTGCGTTCCTCCATCCTGAAAATTTCAAAATTCAAACGCTCAAGATGTTCCAGTGCGAGCTTCAAATCGTAGGGCAACGCACCCTGATTGCCATCGCACCAAAATATTAAAAGCTACGTCTAATTAAAAGATCGCGGTGCTTGCGTACAAGAATGTCGACGTCACATTGAAAATTCTCGGGCAACTTCAGAGAGAACCGAAAGATCTCTCCAAGCTGACAACTTCAGGCTGCGTTTTACGAATTTTCGCGAACAAGCAACCATCTTGATAACCTTATTTCGGGCAAAGTTTCGGCAAGTCGAGTGGGGAGCTTAGCACAGACGAAAAATCAAAGATAGATTCTCGTACTTCGGACGTTAAGCTATGCACGCTGCCGGAGATTTACGCGTCCTACAGCACTCGACGCAACAATCGATTATCGCGCTTCATACTTTCGAACGGCGTGACATTTCGTATGCAAGCACGGCCGAATAAACAACGGCGTGTCAAGGCGCCAACAAACACTCACTGTTAAAGACTAGCAGCTTCCGCGTGGAGCCCAGCCGTTTGATGGGTGACTTGACGCCGTCGATCTCTTCCTCGTCCATGATCCCGTGCCGGCGACGGTGTGGACCTTGATTTCCGCTGCTCGCCCGTGGACTCTCTCTTTCTCACCGCAAGGGGCAGGGGGAGGGGAAGGCAAGAAAGATGCGTTCTCCTGCTGCACTCGCGGGCACTCGCACGCACTCACGTACGCGACGAAACGCGCGCACGCCGGTTGCGCGTTTCTACAGTCGCGCGCGCGAACCTCGAACGAACGAACGAAGGGGGAGAGAGAGAGAGAGAGAGACAGAGAGAAAAGAGAGAAAGAGAAGGTGGACGCGGACGCGGACGCGCGCGCGCGCGACACTCGCCGCGGTTCAGAGCATTCTCTCGAGCACGAGGAGGAGGCTCGATCGTCTCCACCGCGTCTGTTCGTTCGTTCCCCGTAGGAACCGGTTTACCGTGTGGCGTCGTTAAGGACAACGGAGGAGATGTGTGGACGCCCGACGGTGCGAGTTTTTGTGTGGAAGCACGCAACACCACGCAGCGCCAACGTCGGTCTCGCGCGCGCGTTCCCCGCTCGTGGTACACTCACGACTCTGTTCCTCGATCGTCGCGGCTACTCGCGCGCGCCGGTGCGCGAGCGAATGTCGTCGGTCGGCGGAGCGGGCCGAGGGGAGCCGATCGACGATCGGCTGAGTCCGAAGCTGTCCGCACAGCTAGCCGGCCGATCGAGTAATTCGAACCCGCTCGACCAGCGGAACTGTGGAGATGCCGGCCGCACTGAGAGTGAGACAGACAGACGGATAAGGAGAGCGCGAACGAGCACGCTAGGACGGCTTCTCGCCGCGTAGTGCGCCAGTTAGCCGCCTCGGCTTTCCTCGAAGCCGCCGCTGTGGCGCGGATATTCTTGGACGACGAACGTATATTAATTCAACTTCGGGGGGCCCTCCGCGCCGCCGTCGCGCCGGTGCCGCCTGAGTGCATCGTCGACGCGCCGCGTCTCACCGCTGTTGCTTGGCAACTGATGATAATTGCCGCGCTCCGAACGTCGATGACATCGGTGGCGCCATCTAACGCCGCCGCCAGGAACTACTGAGGAAAAACAAGACGCGCGAGAGTTACATAAAAACTAATTTGTATTCTCGAGCGGTGTTTTTGTTCTTCTTGCAATATTGATGCTTGAAAAATTTTCCGGAAAACACATGGAGAGAGAATTACAGCTCCGATAGAAAAATCTCGATGTGTTGCAAGTGAAAAATGTATTGCAGCTCCGATAGAAAAATCTCGATGTGTTGCAAGTGACGATATATCGACGTGTATGGTAAAACAGTGCACTCAGTGTACTGTTTGTCTGTCTTATCTTATTACCACGTTACCTAATTACATTATATCAAATACAGGCTGTTTGTAATTGTTTAAAATAAAAATAAAGACAGAAAAAACGCGTTATAATTACTTCGTGATTATTCCTTTTTTTCCCCATCTTCATATCGCGATACAAAATCGCGATATATATGTCGTAATTAATTGGATATAAAATTTCGCTTCCTCTTGTTTCATTAAATTCAAATCCGAATACTACCCCGAAAATCTAACCTATCATCCCACGAGAAACGAATGCACTTTTGCACGAACGTTAATCATCCGGCGATTTTAAACCGGCCACCTAAGTGCATCAGTTTCTATGACTACGACTAGCAAAACATTACTATTATATCGCGTTATTACCTGATCTATCAAAGGATAGATGCGCAGTCGATGTGCCGAGTGACGTCGATCGCCACATTCCCTCGAGCGAGAACGCGATTCTTCAGAAAATGGAACCCGAAAAGATCGTTTCCGTTAAAGTTTCCGCGGAACGACCGATCACCCGTTGGCGACGGGACCAGCAGGAGGATGGGCCTAGCACCTCGAACAAGATCGACAGACCGCCCACCGGCATCGTGAGACCTCAGAGCAAGTACGACCGGCCGCGATCTCGACGAGGACACAAGGACGAGTCGCCAGAATACGTCGGTTCGTCTGTCAATTTTCGCTCGGCGACGCCCGGACGTTTCGCCCTGGCGAGGCCACCGTCGGCTTCCTTTCTGTCTAATCGCGTTCCTACCGCGGGCCCACGTCTTGTCCGAATGGATTCCGGACTGGCACGCTCCAGCACGGGAATGTCCGCGACAAAGCAGTTCAACGTTAACGTACTGGATCGGCCGATAACGCAGCATGGGATCGCGGGTGTGCGACCGGGAACCACGAGAGGTTTACCGATGACTAGGTAAAGGCGGGTTGAGAACTTATGATTTATATTAACGCTGTTATATCAAAATACTTTTGCTCAGGATTTTTGTAACCGTTACATATTATGTTTTTTTTTTTAATAATGATTTGGTAAAAGCAACCCAGCAAATACAACGTTACATGTAACATACGTGTTAGTTATAATTTCCTACTCAACAATGTAACTGTTATATAACATACGTGTTATATAACAGTTATATTGTTGAGTAGGAAATTACAACTAACATGTATGTTACATATAACGTTATGTTGCTGGGAATATGCAATTACATAATTTGAGAATGGTAATACAAATGGTAACATATATAATAATTACTTTTATCAGCTTACATACACGCGCGCATACCAAATACGTGTACATGGAATAAAAGAGAATTGTAAAAGTTCTCAAAACTTACTAAAAAATTAACAAATAACTCGTAATAACTCTTTACTTTTCTTGTAAATAATGGTAATGGATTACTTTGAAAAAATAACTTCTCTAACTCTGAGCAAAAGTATTTTGATCTAATGTTTGTAATATTTTCAATTTTTTTTTTTAATACAGACATTATTATAGCATCCTACTAGACACAGATATAGAAATAAAAATTAACTTTGCAACATTTTCCTGTCATAACTATTGCTACTTTTGGAAATGTTAATCATATGGTTGAAATGTCTGTCTACAGGCAGATTCAGGATAAGAGATACTACGAAGGATTACTACAACTGAAGATAAGGGAGCTGACGCAGGAGATCGGGACCATAATGAAGGATATCGACATGCAAAATAAAGAGAAGGCCACTTTTTTGCACTACGACAAGAGAGCCAAGAGTTTGGCCGCCGAGTTGACGACTTTACAGGCAGAGTTAGCGGACTATAATCTTGTCGTGGACAAGATGACCTTGGACGTCGACAAGGAAACGATAGAACAGGAAGCTAAGGAGCTAGAAATGATGAACGAACGCAGGACGGCGGAGGTCGAGCGGCTGTTTGAACAACGTAAGCAAATGGAGCAGAGGTTGCACAAGATGGAAAAGGATATCGAGAATGAAAAGAAGCGAACCGAACACCTAATCGAGAACATGGACCCGCACACGAAGGAGAAGTACGACGACTTGTCCAGACAGAAAACGGAGCTGCAGGAGCAAGTACAGCAGATGCAGCGTGAGCTGGATCAGCTGTCGAAGGAGCAGGCTCATTTGGAAGAGCAGATTGCACTGTCGCAAGTGAAGCAGGAAGCTGTGAAGCTTCAGGTCAGGGTCATCGAGGCAGAGGAGAAGCGTGACCGGCTGCGAGAAGAGGAACGCAAGCGATTGTCACCGGAGGACGAGAAAGAACAACTACTGCAGAGGATAAAGCGTGACAACACGGATATCGCCGCGACGGAGGCACAGATAGCAGAGAAGGAGAGGAAAGTGACCGAATTGGAGCTGGAGTTGGAACAGTTGGAGACAGACATGGAAGATAATCAGTCGGAGAAGCAAGTGAAGTATAAGGAGCTGCGTAAACGAGAGGAAACGATGGAGCTATTTATGTCAACGTACGAGCAGAACAAGCAGGAGGAGACCGAGAAGCTAGAGACACTCGAGCGAGACATTGTCGACAAGCTGGCAGCGGTAGCAAACGGAGTGGCTAACAATGAGTACTTGACGGAGGCCGAGGAAATGGCCGTGTTGCGCGACAAATTTTCCTACAACGATTACGAAGTCACTCATCGCGAGGACGACTTTGACAGTCTGAAAAAGGACTACGCGATCATGCAACAGACATTCAATAAGATGAGGATCCTGGAGGAGAAACTGCAACTTGAGTCCAAGCAGTTAAAGGAGAAGCTGAAGAAACAACAAAGCGAACTAATTGTTCTGGAAGACCTGGATGGTCTGAAGACACGAAACGAGCTTAAACGAGACGAGTTGATTGCTGAACGCGAAGGACTGGTGTCTGAGGAAACGATACGCGAAGATCAGCTGAAGTCTCTGCGAACGGAATACGACGAAGTCAAAGAGAGGCTAGAGAAATACGCGGTTTATCCGGAAATCAGTAACTTGGAGGATAAGCTAGCGAAATTGAAAATGGACAAGGAGGAAATCGAGGAATTCATAGCTAAAGAGAAGGAGCGCGTTAATTACGAGCCGCTTAAAAAGAAAGCCTTCAAATTAATCGACGATTACGGTCTGGTGCTTCAGGAAAATCTGAAGTCTCTTTATTGAGTTATAAATTGTCAATACCTTTTTCAAATCTAACAATATTTATTTGAAAACAGTAATAATGCGAACATGAGATAACGACGACAATATTCTTAGCTATATCTACGATTGAATTGTTTTTATCTCATGCGTATTGTCACTGTTTTGTAATTGTTCACGATATTTGCATATTCACTGAATGTTAACATTTATCTTATTAATTTCCGACTCGAATTCGGCTGGGAGTGGTATTTTATTCAACTGGCAAAATTCAGTAAAACCAATTTTGAAAGATTTGCCGGGATTGATATTTTTTGCACGTATCAATTCCAAAAGCGTGAAAATGCTTTTTTGATCGCCTATTTTACCTGCGAACACAAACATCAATGGTGTCAATATCAATATCTCATGCATTTACTGAGAAAGAAGTGTTTGATATTTGTCACTATATAGCAAAAAAATGATACTATATAAGTAAATAAAAATAAATAATTAAGATAATAAATAAGAATTATAATAGTGATAAGAATTAAAATATGCATTTTTGTCACTACATAGTAAAAGAATTATAATCTGAAGAATTACTTTTCGTAACAACTGTTATTATGATATTAGTGATAATAATCTTACATTTACTATAATTACTTTTCTTGTTAAAACAAGATGATTTAGTTGGCGCCGGAAATAATAATATTTAACAAGATTAACCATTTTTTCTCTTAGTGTACACAGTTTGATTTACGAGGAGAAAATATACTTACTGTAAAAGCTAAGGAGCATGTCGCATAAGAAAACTTGATCCACATTGCTCGTATCCTGACTCGCCTCGAGAATTCTCAACAAGCACTTTGTGTCGTCTAATTTCTGCATGTAAGTGAATTGGCGAATAATAACTGACATAGAAATCTTTTGCTCCTATAACAGAAAAAAATCGCGATAAAAAGAAAAATTCTATATTAAAAAGATTCTATTTTATATAAAAAGTTCTATTGATGAGGAAAAACAACATAAATATCTAATCTATTTCATATTTTCTGATAAGAGGGAGAAAAGAGAGAGAGGGGGGAGAGAGAGAGAGCAAAAGAGAGAGAGATTCTCATTTAATTCTCTTTACTAATATGTCACATTTACTGTCAATGTCTGTGTGTAAATATGTCATATTTACTAAAGTGTTTACTTATGCATAGATGTAACGTTCATCTTTCTGTTTTTCTGACATTATTGTGCATTAAAGAGCTCTCTCTCTCTTTCTCTCTCTCTCATACAGCCTGTCAATAAAGATTATTATTATTACTATATACTTCATACTATAAAGTGTAATTAAAGAGACGTAATAAATAGGGTCATTTAAATTACCTGCAATATATTTCGCAGTTCTTCCATTTTATTTAAATTTGCTAGTCCCATTATCATGTAAGTATTGGCCTCCTGGATGCCATGTATATTCGCTATCATATCGTACATCTCTTCTATGAGTTTACTCGCTCTCTGTACGTTCTCATTATCTTTCTCACGTAATAACTCCGTAAACACCTCCACCGCCATCGGTATCTTCTTGTACATATGCAAGCATTTTGTTAGTATTGCTATCGCCGATGGGATATCTTTCTGCTTTAAGGGTATCGCTACCAGCGGCCGCAGCACATCGTTGGTAATTTTGCAATACTTCTTCTCAGTCAAAAAGTACAACATATCCTTTGTGTTGTTGTGATACTTGCTTTCTGCCAGCGCGGTCAAAAGTTTGACACAATTCTTGAACATATTCTTCCTGTTGTTGACGTTAAAAAAGTTCTCGATAATATGAAAGGCTATCTTCGGTTTGTCCACCTTCACCAACGCGGTGGCGAACAGTAGGATCATGTTTCTGTCTTTCGGGAACTGGTCAGTCATTTTGATGTCGGCCAGCAACGTCTCGGCCAGCAACGTCTCGGCTTCTTTCAGTTTGCCGTGCTCGACATACAGAATGAACAATTGTATTTTCATCTCGGTTGTCCAGGGATACTGCTTCATATCGTACTCTTGCTTTATCTTCTCTGCTTTCTTCAGATTGTTATCCAAATAATATGCTTCTAATAGATATTTCAGGATGTATTTAGTGTCGCCTCCTTTACTGTTCATCCAGATGAAGTGGCAGGCGAGTTCACTGGGACTCATATATCTTGGATGCGGCATGGTTATCATCGTGGAGAACCGCAGCTTCTTTTCTACCATTTTGTCGATTATTTTGTACAGATTCATTTTCGTCTCAAGATCGACATCAAAGATGTCAATTTTGTTCTTGAGAAAATTGCTATCATGTTGCGAGAATTTCACATTATGCTTGTCAAATGTTTTCAACAAGTCCTGAAGTTCCTGTATGTGGAGTATTGGATACTTGTTTTTCAGCAGCTTCATCAAAAACAGGCCGACAAAATCGGAACCCTTTTTAGATACAGTTAACACCTTCGCGCATCTTTCAATGTCTCGCGTAGCGAAGTAAACGTGCATCAGTGGTGTCATCAGTATTTTGTAGTTCAGTTTCAGGTCTGTGTCCTGGCACACAAACAACACATCCTCTAGCCGATGTTTCTTCAGCAGGAAGTATATCATAGACGTGTTCAAAACACTTTCAGGTACGCCGTTCATTTTTAATCTCTCCATCGTATGGAGTGGATTCACAGTGTTTACGAACGGCAATACGTAACCGGTCACCGTATCAACGTCAATATCGATGTCCATGGCACGCATGGACGCGATGAGTGAGTATATCTTGGCCTCGCCCTCGTTTCGCTGCGCATCCAACAGCAGAGGCCAATAATAATGCGGACGTATTTCGATGCCATTTTCCCGTATCGCTGTGAATATCGCGAGGCTCAGTTTTTCCCTGCCGAGCTTCAACGAGGTCTCGGCTATGTTGGTCAAAACTTCAGGTTCGCATCCCGACTGTACGAAATTGCTCGCGGATTTCGTGATGTCCTTAGCAGGTACGTTCATCATAATCAGCTTGTTCAGGAAGTTGTTTATGAAGCTCGTCGTGTGCTGTGCGGCCTCTTTATTCGACACGACGCAATTTATGATCGCGTGCGCGTCCATGGCTCGGTCGGCGCGCACCAGTTCCTCTATCAAATTTTTTATCTCAGACTCGATTGTTGGCAGTGGGCCTGTAAGGAAATTCGCAACAGCAGGGATGTGTCCGCCATTACCAGACAAGCTCAAGGATTTTATGATTCTAAATAGACTCACGTTGCTCTGTGGCTCATCTTTTAGAATTTTCATCACGTTAGAGATATCGCCTTGTGTCGCATACTCACAAGCCAGCTCGGTGTACATCTTGTTAATGGGCAGATTTGCATTCTGCATAGATGTAATGACATTTAGTGCTGCAGTGGTATTACCATTGGTCAAAAGAGTCTGCACCAATGTGCACAAGACGTCCTGATCGAGCGAGATAGTCTTCCTCAAAATCATAGACATGATACTCTGCAGGTGCTTAGTATTGCCTGTTTTGGCAACATTATTAAACAGCAGGCGATATGTGTCATCATCTGGCTGCACATTCATATCGGCCAGAAACTTCTCGGGATCCACGGAGCTAGAGTTCTCCACATGGACATTTAGCAACGTGTTGTAATGTTCTAACGTGAGCGCGCCGCCGTTTTCCTTGACGAGCCGCCATACCTGATTGGCGAGATTTTGCCTCTCGTTGGGTGTCACGGTAGATAGTGGACTGCCGCAGCATTTTAACAGCAGCACGCTTGTATCGGGCTGCAACTGATAGTTGTTTTCGTCGCATAACCAGATAACTTCCTTCAATCTGTCCACTGGGCATGTCTGGTCGTGTTTTACGTCGTTGCAAAACGATGTCACTTTCTGGTTAACTTCATCAGCTGATGATTGTGCGATTGTTGTACTAAATGTCCTGATTCCGCACGCTGTGTAATTTGGCCGCAAATTTGTCTGCGGAACACGACAATGATGCAACGAGTGACGTACATAACCTGCTTTGCGCACCGACGGCGACGTTGAGTACAGTGAACGAGCTACGTGCAATTTCGTGTCGCATCTGAGAACGGTCAATACGTATTTCCTCAAATGTAACATCTTATCGGCTTCAATCATCATATATTTTATTGAAAAATAGAGTTGAACATACGACGTACATCACGACCGGAACTTGCCGAAAGTGTAATAGAGTTCAGTTCAGTTCAGCACATGGGCTGTGTTTCGAAATGCACTGCCAGTACTGATAATATTTATCTCACTCAAACTTATTGCAGCAGTGCAGAACAAAAGAACAAACCTCTGGGTGTTTACGATAAGTTGTCGGATTGGAAATTCGACTGAACAGTGGTACTCAATCGACCCATTTAAAAAATTCCCTAGCTTAATCAGATTTTAGTAAAAGCTGTCTCAGCAGCAGGGTTGGGCACGTATTATACTTAGGGTGCCGTTCCATTGAGCACGGATCGGAATGCCGGATCGGATTTCTTACTATAATGAGCGTTCCGTTCTCTAGTTCCGTTCCGTAAAAGTTTCCTCTACCAGTCCCATGTAGCAAAACGGAACGGAATGGCGCGTCGGTCGCAAATAAATATGATTAATTCGTCAATATTTCATTATTTTGACGCGACAGAATTAATTATATACATAATTTATGCAATTATCTTGCCGATAACATTGTCATGAATATTCTGAAATATTTAATTGAAGAGTGAAATATATTTTATAACTAGAAATCCGTTCCGTTTTTGCTACATGGGACTGGTAGAGGAAACTTTTACGGAACGGAACTAGAGAACGGAACGCTCATTAAAGTAAGAAATCCGATCCGGCGTTCCGATCCGTGCTCAATGGGACGGCACCCTTAACGTATTATACATTGGTTATATACACGTATGAAACTAAGTATAATACGTCCTAGGTTTGATACGTATGATACATAAAGTGGCGCCACCATAGTAATACGCATGTGCAATTAATCGGGTGTATATTAGTTGGACAAGGGGGCAATTGGACACAGTCCAATCACAAGTCGCTGTTCCAAGGGACCCTACAAATGTCTCTAATCACACGGTGCTGTGATTGGCTGTGTCCAAATGCACCGTGTCCAAGTGCACCGCTCCCCAATTAATCGAGTGATAACATTTCCGAACACTTAATGCTAATCTTCTGATCTTTTATTATTCAACGCATTATCGATAAATTATTTAGACAACAACGAAATGCATTTCTGTAACTGCACCATCGAGTTTCGCACGCAAGAACAATTTTTTTTCCTCCACCTTTTATAATTTCTTTTTCTAGACCTGGCTGCTTGAATTCTCTCAATA